AAAACGTTCCAGGTTACTAAAGTAACCCTTCGTTCCCCGAGGAGGGGAACGGAAGCACTATACTCCGTCGCCATAATGACTGTCCCTTAGCTGTTAAAAGTCTCTTCAGCTTAAAAAGGATAGCGTCTGCTGGCGCCAGGTGAGCTTATATACTCAGTTGATTGCTTATGCCGCTCACCTGCGCAGGCTTGCGCTGCCAATTCATTCTTAATTGGCCCCCATACGCACAATACTCTTTCAGACGAGTAGCTTCTGAACCGAACCTCCCAATGCGTGGATTTTACAATCAAATCCACTTATAGTGCTTCCGTTCCCCTCCTCGGGGAACGAAGGGTTACTTTAGTAACCTTGAACGTTTTGTAATTACATTTTTAATGTATAGTCATAAACACAATTGTTCCTAGGTCAAGCAATTTGACTGTTTCTGCCATTTGCGAGTCAATTCTCTTATAGGAAACTGAAAGAAAAGAGCTTACTCCAGCACTAGAGAACAACATCAATAACCCTTACCAACTGTAACTCACTTAGCATTGACACTTTGTTAAAGCATTGTATTTTCAGTGACTTTTAAAGTAAACTCGTTTATTCAACGTCTATTCTATTTTCAAATATGGTCATCTTAGCTCCATTTTAAGCCTAAGTAGGCTTAGTGATCTGTGGAATAATGCAGTTAGGCTCTGAGGCTTCAGCATTAGCCTGATTTTTTCGAGTGAATGTTGTCGGTGTGCTGTAGGAAGCAAGTGTGGACAACAGGAAATGGCCATTTCGGTTCCCACAGGTGCAGCAATTACCAATGCTTACTGACCACTCATCATTCTATGCGAACCGCTCAGCTGTCAGCCAATTACATGCCTCCTTCATGCCTGTAATGCATTGTAAATCAACAACAGCTCACTTACCTGGGCTGATAGCTGGAGGACAGTGTCATTCCTGTGTGATTCATTTTTGGAGGGCCGGCAGGGGCTTCTTAACGTCCTTGATACATAAAAGAACCATTCCGCCCAAGAATGTGCAGCCTTTGATCAATAAAAAGAGATTTGAAAGCATCAAATGGTGAACTTTGAAAAATACTTTTCCTTTTATCATTTTTTGGTAAAAAATGAACAGTTTTATTTAATATGTACATCATGAGCCATCATTTAAAGCCTGTTTTTGTCTTATGCTGAATCACTTCCATGCACCTGTGCTGTTAGTAGTGTTTAATAGGACTATATACTGTATATATATATATATATATATATATATATATATATATATATATATATATATATATATATATATAAACTATTTGAATATGTGACTTATTCTAATATGAGATACAAACACACACTTATGGAGTGTTAAAAAACTTGTTTCATTGCATCCGGTGCATCTTCTAATTTTGACTAAGAAATATATATCTCAGCTATTGATGGTTATGGGTACACTTTACAATACATCTAAAATTTTCTTAGTTTAGGCATTGTGATTTAGCTGGGACTCAATCCATTGACTGCCATAATCTACTGCTTGAGAACAAACTTTTACAATTTTTAAAAAGGGTACAATATCTTTATAATATTCATATTTTAAAGCTATGAATTAAAAATAACAAGTTGACAAGTTACAAATAAGTTGTTTAGTTATATCATTAAGTTGTATTTGTTATTAAGATTTTTTCCTTCCCTCTCTGTCTTTTTATTTTTTCCTACACAGCACGAGAGAGAACAGATCATGACCACCAATGTCTGGCTTACACAGGTCAGTCACATTAATCTAACCCATTTTACTTTCCTGACATAAAATGTTTAACACACAACAAAAAGTGCTTTACTTTGATTGTTCTGTTGGTTTCTATCCAAGGTAATAACTGTAATTTAAATTAATGCTTTTAAAGAATAATATTAATTAAACACAACAATAAAAACAATAAAATGTCAGCAAATTAGGTTAAAAATAATAAAAGTTCCCATGTTAATTTAAAAAAAGCATGCATGTTAATGGATATGCATTAGGCTTCAAATGCATCATCATCAGTTTATACGCTACCTACGGTGGCCGAGAGAGCTTAACATGCTGCAGTTTAAGAAAACACATGCAATTACAAAAAATGCCAGCAAATTAAGAAAAGATCTTCCTCCGTTTGACAGCACATACGCTGCAAGTCCTCACAATGCAAACACGTTTAAAAAAAAAAACCGCTGCATATGTGCTCACAACACTTTCAAATATACAAAAATGCGGAAATGTTTCAAGAGGACCTAAAAACATGGCAGACCGGGCTACTTAGCTTATGGGTATTTATTTACTTACTTGATATTAAGCTGCACCATGTTTGTGTTTCGTAACATCTAAATTTTACGAGGTGAGTTGTTAGCCCAACACTCAACCCCCAACCTGCAAAGAGGACCAGGACATACAGACATACTCTATGAACAATTTAGCATACCCAGTTTAGCTATAGCGGATGTCTTTGGAGTTTTGGGGGAAACTGGAGTACCTGGAGGAAACCTTCATGTAAAAAAATACGAAATCTGAAAGACAAGGGAATCAGGGTGTTAAAAGAAACAAACAACAAACTCTACTTTTAAAGATTATCTGCTGTTTCACTGGGCAAAATAGTCACGGCACGTTTTTGGGTCCCCTTGAAACATTTTCATTGAGTTCCAATGTTTTTCAAAGTGTTGTGAGAATTTAGCGTGTTTTCGTAAAATTGTTTGCGTTGTGAGAAAATTTAGCGTGTTTTCGTAAATTGTTTGAGTTGTGAGAAAATTCAGCGTATTTTCGTAAATTGTTTGAGTTGTGAGAAAATTCAGTGTGTTTTCGTAAATTGTTTGAGTTGTGAGAAAATTCAGTGTGTTTTCGTAAATTGTTTGCGTTGTGAGAAAATTCAGCGTGTTTTCGTAAATTGTTTGCGTTGTGAGAAAATTAAGTGTGTTTTCATAAATTGTTTGCATTGTGAGAAAATGCAGTGCGTTTTCGTAAATTTTTTTGCGTTGTGAGAAAATGCCATGTGTTTTCGTAAATTGTTTGCGCTGTGAGAAAAATGCAGCATGTTTTCGTAAACTGTTTGTGCTGTGAGAAAATGCAGCACGTTTTCATAAATTGTTTTCGTTGTGTGAAAATGCAGCACATTTTTTAAAGTGTATGCATTGAAGATCTGTTAATTTAGATCTGTTAAGTTTTCTAAATTTCCGCACGTTAAGTTCTCTCGGCCACCCTAGCTACCACACAAAATATTTTTAGACTGTATATACAGTAATAAATTATTGGTGTAGACGTTTTATTGGTGTAGACAATTTATTGTTATAAACACTTTATTTCAATGTGTCATTTCCATTTCGCTCTAATTAATTTTATATTACTTTTTTAATTACTTTTTCATACTAAAATTTATAGTTTAAAATAAAACCTAGGTCAAATGTTTTTCCTTTGTGTATTCAAACATCTCATCCAAATTGGTTTGTACAGATACAGTTCTCTGTTACACATCTCTCTCTTTTTCTCGCTCGTTCTCCATCTTTCTGTCACTCCCTCTCTGAATCATCTGCTCATGGTCACTATGACCATAGATGTCATTTGGCAGGAGGTATTGCTGCTGTCAGTACAGGTTACCCATACAACTTCACAACTGTATGTGCCTTTCCTAGCCAGTGTATGTGTATAAGATCTGTGCGTCAGAGTAAAGAACATAATATAATCACATTAATGGTCACTATCTTTAAACTGACCGTAAGTGTGTTAAATTACCACCACTTGACATTTATCACTCTTATTGTGTGTATCAAGACAACTACCATTAATTAGGCTGTGCTTTATGACCGTTCTCAGTCGCAGTCTGTTTAATCTGTCAGCATTTATCGCCTCAAGTGATTAGTTCTCACTTTCTAATCTAGTTTATTCAGACATTCCTATTAGTAATGAAATGTGACAGTTCATTAATACATACGCTAAATATGCTGCTAATTGACTGAAAGCAGTGCCGTGTGTGACTGATGAACATGATCTTAACAGCATGCTTGGTTACACCATCTGCACAAGTCAATGAGAAATTATAGTTTCATAACATGAAATGTGTGAAAGAAGGCTGTGGATTTGGAGTATATTTCACTTTCATCGTAACCCAGCAACGATTTTTTTGTTTTTAAAAATATGTCTAATAGTTGTCTAAATGTAGTCATCTTGGCTAAAACAATACTGAATATGGGCTGTCAGTGAAAATCTAATAGACATCTAAGAATAGGCTAAAACTAGATTGAATTAACAGAAATGAATGACTGCACATATAAAGTCTGTTTAATCTGTCTATTTGACGACTAGTTGAGTTTAGTCTTGTTTTAGCAAAGCTGTTTACTTTTAGATGTCTATTAGATGTCTATTAAACACAAAATTGTTTGCTGGGTAGTGTCAAGGATTGACAAAAGGTGTTTTGTCATTAGCATGTGCTGCGAGGTGTTATAACTTCATTACCTGGTAGTAAAACGCATCTTTCTCCACACACAACCCTTCAGAAGTCATTATTTGTTGACATTAAGATGAATGAAAATGCTAATTAAGTCTACCGTGGTTGTTTATTTTCATCTTCAGGAATGGCAGGACTACAGACTAACATGGAGCCCAGAAGAGTTCGATGGCATGAAGAAGGTCCGTCTTCCCTCCAAGCATATTTGGCTGCCTGATGTTGTTCTTTATAACAAGTAAGCCTCGAAAGATCATCTTGCTTAGCTTTCTCTACAGCTTATCGCTGCTTTATTACATCTGATCCTTTCTTCCTTTCCTCTTTCATCGAAGCGTAGATAACATCTGTGCTTATCAGTCTCTGTCTCATTAGCGGTGTTCCCGTGTCACATTACATGACCTCACTGTAAATAAAGCATGTTCCTGCTCTCTTGCTCTCTTGCTCTCATGCCGCGTAGTGGAAGATGATTTATATTTAAGCTAATTAAAACAATACTTCCTCCTGTGTTTGTCTTTATGTATCATTGATAAACTGTGTGCAGATAAACACCTAAGAAACAGGCCTCAAAGGTTTGAAAATTGTCTCAAAAAAAAAAATTCTGTACAGCAGTAATGTTATAGGAATTATCTAAAAAAAAAAAAGTAATATGCCTTTACCAAATGCCTTAACCTACTGTAAAAGTTACATAAGGCACTTACATTTAAAGTAGACATGGTCAGGCAGTAAAGACACACCATGCTATACGTGCTAACACAATTGAATTACATAAAATCTGGTTAAAGTTAAATTACCCAAATTTTTAAGGTCACTGGTTTAATTCACAGCAAATGTGGCATCAGTTAAAAGTGCAAGCTTAACACCATGTCTACTTCAGACGCAACCATGCTGCTTAAAGGTGCAGTAGGTGATCTGCCACAATGCTAACCGGCTAGCATAAATCTCTGAAACACTGTCCCTACCCTGCCATCCAAAGCCACGCCTCCTGAAACACGAGTACACGCACCTCAGGAATTATACTTACTACTAAGCCATACTTATATGCTATTTCAGACTAAATATTCAGAGTAGTGGTAAATAATATAGCGAGCACGTCACAGGTTGTCATTGTTCAAAAATTAACCATTGTGAATATAAAACCAACTTCACCTCAGTAAAGCAGGCTAGGCGGAATAGAAAAAAGTTCCTTATGAATCAGAAAATAGTCACATCAGTCTTTCACCGGGAGATTTTAGTGGCTGAATAACACTTCTGTGCATATAACCCATTTGTAACAACAAAATCTACATCAGCTTGGCGTTAAAATAGTTTTAAAACAAAACATTATCTAACAGAAATACTTCAGAAATACTTCAGCCATGGTATCATCCTTCGTCATCCTTCGTCCAGCATGCAAAAGTCACTCCAATATTGATTCAGGAATTTAAAAAGTATTGATTTTAAAAAAGTATTGTACAAGATCTGCATGAGCGTCTGCGCTTTAGTTCGAATCTGCATTTGTTGCAGTTTTAACTACTTATCAGAATTATGCGAAATGACACTATTTAATTGGGTGAACATTTTTTAGTTATATGGCTTACTCAGAATATAAAAATACACATAAACACATTTAGATCAATTTCTTTAATCATTACGATTGGAATATGAAGAGACTTTTAACCGGCACAACAACAAATGTTACTGAAGAAAATCACCTCCTGCACCTTTAAAGAAGTGTTTCTCAATTCTGGTTTTCGCACTCCACTCCACTGCACATTTTGTATGTTTTTCTTTTAACTGTAGACAATAAGTCCCCAGCAACGTAAACTCCACAGGATATTCTGCCATGATTTTAGCTTTAAGGAAGCATTTGTTTTATTCAAATGACATTTTAGTTTGTGATATGTGAATTTACATTTTAATTATTTACAGAGGTATACTATGCAGTATATGCAGTATATATATATATATATATATATATATATATATATATATATATATATATATATAT